CCACCACTCCAAGCAGCCCTCCAGCACACGAGCAGTCTTCAACGCAAAGCTACACGACCGTTGCTCGGTCCAGCGCGGGCCAAGTCCTCCAGCACAGCAGCGAGCGAGAAGGTCGGCCGCAAGTTCTGGCGCTAGCCCGGCCACGCTGAGTTGAACCCCAGTTTCCTCCCACTCAACAATTAGAGATAATAGCCCAGCCCGCGCGCTCTGTGCGTCTCCAACAAGTAGCACCCGACATGCACGCGTGGCCACCAGCAAATCCATGGACTGGAAGATCCATGGCAATAGGAAAGCGGCCCGCAGGGTCTGCCGCGCGCGTCAGCACAGCGGCCAGGTCGTCCACATAGGTAGGGCAATCCGTTTGCAACATGTCGCGTACTTATTGAATCACTGGGTCATAGCACATGCCCCTTAGTAGCGGCGACACCACCCCACCCTGACACTGCGGAGCAATCTGCGAATGGGACCCTTCCCGGATCCAGTTCGCACGCGCACGACTCGCCTGTGACAGAGCCCCGAGAGATTTCGTTGTACACATGTCAGCATTACCCCAGCGGTCGAGCATGAGTGCAGCCCAGTGAGTGGCCACTCCCTCCAAGGCCTTGTTTTGGTCCGCAAGCATGGCAGCATTGGAGGGTGCTTCCCCGACTTGTTCGAGAACGCGCTGCATGTGGCCTCCCACGACCGGAGCGAGATCCCCCAGGATGCGCCCCCACGCCTCCACCAGGGAGCTGCCCTGTCCAGGTCGACCCGCAAGGTGTCGACTGGCTTGAGTGATGTCAGGACCGCAGCGCCCACCCTTAATGGCCGCCTGGCCCGGGCACAACTGAAGCTCGATCCGCGGGCCTACCAAACGCGCCACCGTGGAAAAGAAAAGGCTTCAGAAGCAAGTAGGTACTGGTAGCGGCCGAGGATCACCGGGCGCCTCTGCTCCTCGAGCCCCCATTGGGAATCCTACCAAAAGGTCGACCGATTCCCCGAGAACTGTCTCGAGTGCATACATCGCCTGCGCGAGCAGGCAAGTAATGAACTTTGTCCCGATGTGGTAGACCTCGCATGGCTCTTCGTCTAATCCAAGTGTGAACTTGTAGAGCCCAGTCGCCTCCGATTGGGTCGCGTCCTTGCACGGCCCGATGCGCGGCTGGAAATTGGATCGACAGCAGTCTCCGCGCTCGTCGGTCGGCCGGCAAAACTCAAACCGCGCACCCATCCAGCGCCACCTGTCCTGGGATTAGGGTTCGCGCTGCGGCGCGGCGTGAAGGGGCCGACCGTGTCCGGCGAAAACGCACTGCCCCGCGCGAACGCACGGCCGGTTGCGCCGCCGCAAAATGGGCGGTCCTCTCCGTCTGGACCGCGGTTCATAACCCGGGCAGGTTGGCAACATCTGCCTCGACAAGAGCTGGCCCGAGTGGCGCGCCCGCGCGAAGGCTCGGCCCTACCAAGCGCCCCCACTGAATCTGCGCGCGCCCCGAGGGGAGCTCCATTGTTGCACATGCTGCCGCCCCAAGATACTCTGGCTCGCCCTCGCCTCGCCGCGCCTCAGGGGCGCGGCCTCGCCTGCGCGGACCTCGCCCAGTTTCGCCGCGGCCCGGGCCGCGCGACGACGCCGCCGACGCCCGCGGCGCGCGCGACCTTGCGCGCAGCGCGGGGCCTGCCCCCACGGTTGCAACGCCCGTCACGCCATTGGTCGGGGCAGGGGCGCCCGCGGGCGCCCTGGGACGTCATGGCCTCACTCCTTGCGGGTGCCAATTTGCATGACGCCCGGGCCCCGACGAGCCTCTGTCGCGCGCGCTCTCCCGCCCCCTGCGGGCAACCCACGAGGACATCCTATAGCACGAGGCTGTGCTTCCAGCACCGACGCCAGTTGGACCCTTCGACGACGCGAGATCAGCGGCCGCCGCTCTGGCGCGCATGTCGCTTCGCTTCCTGCACCACCTTCTCCAATCGCGCCTTCTTGCTGCATCACCGCCCGCCCTGTGCCAAGTTCTTCCCCCGACCCTGCTGCGACGGAGGATTGGCGGGGTGATGCCGGCGGCGTGGCCATTGCTCCCCCGCCAGGCTCGCTCCGCTGAATACCAGAACCCACGCGGCCCCACCCCCCCGTCGACGGCCCGCTGCCGCCGCGCCTGGCGATCGGCTCTGGAACGGTCGAATCCCCTTCCTCTGCCGCGACCGCGCCCTGCGACTCCCCGTCACGCGGAGGCCCCCTTCCGACGCCCCGGCGGACTGCGGGCGTCGCTTCGCCCGGCGCCATGGCCCTGCAAGTTGACCCCCTTCGCCCGCCCGTCGCCGCCGTCTATGAAACTCCGCCTCTATCCTGGTAACCATCGCGCCGAGGGCCTCCTTGGCCCCTTCCAGTGCGACGTGAGCTGCGGCAGCGCGGCGGCCCCGCTCTCGACTTTGCGCGCTGCGTCGAATACCTGGAATGGCGCCCATTGGGTTGCAACCATGAAGAATGATTGGTGGATCGTCGCTCTGCCAATGCGTGGAAAGATTCAGTCGCCTTGCCTGCGCTTCGATACCGAGTTCGTCAACCAAGTGTCATACTGTGGCCCACCCCCCCGAGCCAAAGCCCCGGCCCCCGCCTCGTCTGGCGCCAACGTGCACATCCCCACTAGGAACTGCATGCTGCGCGGAAGTCGGCTAGGCGCGCCCCTCGTTCGGCCGTCACACACGCGACAAGCCAGCCCCCCAGCTCCAAAGTCCGCTCGTCTGGGACTCGCACACCCCCGGCGCCCAACGCAAGTCCCGCAGCCGTGGCGCGAAGACTGCAGCAACTCCGGCGCTACTCCTCGCCCTTGTAGGCCGAGCCAGAAGATCATTGATTTCGGGTCTGTTCGGCAGGCGCACTGGCCCCGGGCATCGGATCAAAAGGGTTCGTGATTGGAGGTGATGACGGCGAATGCAGCGTTTCACCATCGAGTACGCAGGGTGCTCTGGCCCTCTGGGCAGCGCCCTGGATCCCCACGCGGGCCCAATCGCCACGTCGACCCGCATCGTTACCTCCTGGAGCATTAGCATAAGAATGTGTGAAGACCGCGGAAGACGGGAATACTAGGTGGAGCCACGTTGGGCGCGCCGCGCGGCATTCGATCTCTTCTCCTGTCATGAGACACACGAGCACGGATTCCCCCAGTGCCAAATGCACCTCGGGACGCGCCCTCCCTGGAGGCGACGCGGAGAATGCCAGGCAAGCCCGAGAAACCGGGAACGCAGCCGCGATACTTATGCAGTCCACTTACCTCGTTTACACTTGGAAGGGCGAGCCTGCATCCCGACGCCATAGGCGCGGCAGGGGGCTGACCACCCCCCGCGGTCGAGCTCCATCGAATTGGTGGCCAGAACCTAACCTGAAGGCGAAATTCCACCATGGCCAGCCCCAGTCTTGAGGCACTGTTCACCGAAAGGCGCCACGACTGTCGCGATCCGCACTTCGCCCCCGCGCTGGTAAGTCAGGATGCGGGCTCAAACTGGTCCAACAGATACTTCCTGTAGGTCTGCGGCCGTGGAAGTTCAGAAAATATAGACGGCCCGCATGCCACCGCCCTCTCGCCAGGGCAACACCCGCTCTCCGATCAAGGTGGGCTCGTACTGCCCCGGCAACGCCAATGCTTCCATGAGTTCGCTGATACGATAGCATCGCTGGGAAAATGGGGCAGGATGGGCCCGCGATCAAGACGCTCCAGCGGGCCGCGTCGAATAAGCTGTCTTGCCCCTGCACGGCGAAAGATTCAATCATGTCCGAGTAGCTCTCCGCGCGTGGATTATACCCCCCCCCCTGACGTAGGCGAAGACCGCAGAGCCTGCTTCGTTCCCAGCAACTCTGCGAATCGGTTAAGGGAGCTCGCCCTCGCGTCGCGCAATGCCTAGTGGTGAACTGAACCGTGCTGAGCTCATGGGTTCGCGCTGCAGCTGCCCCGCCCCCCACCCG